GGGGAAAGAGACCAAAACAGAGAGACAGAGGGAGAGAGAGAAGTAGATAGAGAAGGAGAGAGAAAAAGCAAATCGAAGTCGTCATTTAAAAAAAGAAAGTGCATACTGCACTTCATCGGCGCCAATATAAATTCAGAGATGACGGAATTATCTGTCCCGGCAAACGGCAGTAGCCTACGAGAAACCCCAAAAATAAAACAAAAAAAGAAACAGACGCCAATGTGACAGGAGGAGTCATCCACTTAATCGGACCACCACCCACTTCCCTGGCCAGCACGGCCAATCGGGAACCGTCACGTCCACGACGGGCAGGCGACGACTACATCGACGACGGAAAGGCTCTCGCTTTCGCGTCGTCTAGATGATGGAAGCCACAATGCGCACAACAGACGTGACACGAACTCTAACGCTCGCGGATGGGCTCTCCAGCAGAGCGTGACACATCAGTTTGCTAACTTCGTTAGACGCTGCGTAGTGCTTTTTCTGCACTTCGACCTCCCCTTCCAACGCCTCGTACTGCCGGATTTGGATGGAGCACTGCCGCTTGCAGTTGCTCTCCATCGTCGACGCCAGCAGAGCCCCGTGCTTCTCCATGCATTCCATCAGCGCTTCAAAATTTTGCTGCCTCGGGCTCTTCCTCTTGCCGAAACCGGCAGGGCTTCCTGTCGTTTGAGAAGAACCTCTTGTTGACCCGTCCTCGTCGTCGTCGTGCCCTGCACTAGCGCCCCCATCAAGCCATCGCCCATAGATTCTGGATTTGCAGAAGTGGCGGACGGCAGATGCACGCCACCTGGAGCACCAGTGGCGGCGATGTTCTTCGGGTTTATGGTGTGGCTCTTGGCGGTCGACCCCAGTATCTCGTCGTAAACTGCACGATCCATGTTGAAATTGAAGCCCTTCGACAACCTCTCTTTCCCAGAGAATTGGAAGAAGTCCTGTTTCCCAGACAAGCCTTGGAAGTGATGCACCTTCTTGAACTGCTGCATCGAATTGTCCCACTTCTTCCCGCGCCGTTCTGCTTCTCTGTCGACGCCCACCTTCTTCAACCTCTGCGCCACATCCAACCACTTCCATTCTCACAGCTTCATACGAGCGTACATGGTACCCATCCCTTACAGATCCGCGTCCTTGTCACGTTTGGCCTCAATGAGGGCTATCATGTCGTCGACGGACCAGAAGTGACGACCTCCTTCCGCATCAGCGTCACCTTCGGCATCGCTCCCCTTCGCCGCCGCTTTTTCCCCCCGACGACCATTGCGAGCACACACCCTCGTCTTCCCGCCCCTCCCTCCCATGCGGCTTTGCTTGAACGGCGATACATAGCCTGCGTCCTCGTCCCCACCTTCTTCGCTGCCGTGGCTCTACTCCTGATCGTCCGCACCCACCGCAAGTGCGTCGCCGTTGTTTTTCTCCTCCCCCACACGCAGTCGCTGCACCCCCCGAGTTATGGATTCCTCCTGCAATGGATGAAGCGTCCGTCGCTATTCTGCCCACACCTCCCTCCCGTCGCGTGCATCACCAACATCGGTGATCCCACAATCCGTCTCCCCACATTCGCGTCTACGGCGGGCGGCAGTCGAACTGGCAGACAAGGGAGACGGAGACTGCATCCACAGGGGGCTAGCCGAGGCACCCCTCGACACAAACGGCGACCGGTATTGCTGCCTTGGAGGATCCCTGTTGTTCCCCGAGGACCCCGACGCCTCCTAGACCAGTGCTGGAGACTTCGATGACCGCGCAACAACCGTCAATTGCCCGCCGTCGTCGTCAGGATGGTTGTTGACGATGACCGTTCGTGAGGCGGCCGACGACCTCCCGCTACACAGCCTGAACGACAGATTCATGCCATCATCGCCTCCGTCGCCACTCAGCCCCTGTTGGAGGAGTTCGGTGTACGACTGCCCATTACCGCCGTCGCGGCTTCCACAGAGCTCTGTAGTCGCCCACTCCTGGGTGGACCCGCTTCCCAGCGGCGCGGTACGTGACCGTCTGTCCTCCGCCTCCTCGTCGGACGTGTCCGACAGAGGTTGCAAGTGCGGTGGCAGGTGCGGGTACCCAGACCGCTCCGACAACCTTGAACTTCTCGACGGGCTCTGCCCAGCCCACTGGCCACCACCCTGATCCCCTGCAGACCTGCACATTCCCTGACACCCCTCCATATTGACGCCCTTCTTCGAAGACCGTCGTCTGCGGCCGCGTCGCAGAACGGTACCGAGGATGCACATGTGGAAGACAACTAAGAGGAGGAGCAGGAGGACGACCAGCACCAGCAGCGGCAGCCTCCGAACGACCGTGACGTCGGCCATGAAACACACGTGGACGACCGCTACAGCTACAAGACAACCCTGGACGTCCTGGAAATGGAGAGGGTCAGTGGTGCAAATGACTGATTGCAACAACCGACAAAAGTAGGGTAACGTATTCCGCCGCGGAAGACACTGCGCAATCGGGAGAGCGGTGGTCGGCTGAAGTATTCGAATATGCCAACCGTTGGGTGCTTTCCCGCTCGTGCCGAAGGGCAGTGACGCAAGGCAGCCCCTTTTCAACGTCGCAGAGGACGCCAGGCCGCCAAAGGGGACCGTTGGCGGAGTATTCCATGTCCGTCCACGGCCCGCCAGGAACAGCAATGGACCAGCCGCGTCAGAATTTGTCGTCGATAGAGCTGCCCTCGACGCCCCAATTCTTTCGGATGCCCGACTTCCAAGGGACCTCGAGAGGACCCTTGGGGAACACGTCCAAATGGCTGTAGCCCGAGGAATCCCCGAGGAAATGTTTTCACTTTTTTTTTTTCATTTTCTTCCCTGAGGATAAGTGGAACCATGATTTCCTCAGGGATTTTACGCGCCCGAGGAGTGTCGAACGAGCCCCAGAGTCGCACTGGGGGTTCGACAAAGCTTGGCACACAGGGCGTTTCCAGCATTGGAGGAAAGTGCCTCGGAATTACTGGTGGTTTAAAGTTTTATTCGCAGTGTCGTGCCCCGTACCTCGTACGGGGGGTCCATGTACGGACCGTCCGTACGGGCGTACGGACCGTCCGTACGGGCGTACGGACGATGGCCGTACGATGGTGTTTTAGGGGCAAAAAAAATAAAATAAAAAAACAAAAAAACAAAAAAACAAAAAAACATGAGGTTGTAGATCTCAAAAAGATCTATAACCC